ACAACACTCTTCACAAGCCTTCCGACGGAGCACGAAAAGGTTGACAAACTTGATTGCTAGAGAGTCTATAGAAGCAAATGTGGCAACTGTGAGAAGCATATTGGTGAACCAGGAAGAAACCTCAGCCTATAAATCTAGAAAGACTAAAGACTGTGCAAAAACATGTACACTGAAATATCCGAAATAGTGGATCGCACGGACGGAACACAAAATCAAGTGGAAATCGACAGAATTGCTGGCTGCATATGGGGGAAATACAATAAAACATAAGATACGAGAAGCCATTGATATCCTGACTGAAATAAACCTAATGAACAGGAGACTTGAAGAAGGCACGATTTGCGAAAACTTTGCATAATGCCTAAGCAAACTCGGAGATTATTAAGGAACGGCAATATCAGCAAAAAGAAGACGACTGGAGAAAGATAATATTTTTTATTTTGGAAAAGAAATTACAAGAAGACAAAAGAGGAACAATCGGAAACCAAGAGAAGCTGTCTACAATAAGCCCATTCAAATCAAGTAGAACCATCACATTTGGGATTTAGCACGCAAGAGAAGCTATAGACTTGGCATTAGAGATGTAAGAGCGAGAGACATAGTGGTGACCATTCCTAGTTAGCTATTAGTAGACGGGTTTGCTCATAGACGTGATCCTTGAAGTAAAGGTTTGATCATGAAATTTAGTCGGTGCACATGCCAAACAGCGATAACAGAATCTGTAGCGTCAAGTTAGGTTGCCATGCCAATTGAGAATCCAGACTTTAGGAGCTTGCTCAGTGAGGATGGCGTACACATGCTATCAAAGGCTTGAGGCAGAGCGTAGAACATAATGTTTTGAGTAGCTCGGATAGGATGGCAGCGATGAAAGGAAATCATAGAAACAGGCAGATAAGGGAAGGATCCTACGGGGCAAGAGGAGGACTTTGATAGGACTCAAAGAGAGAGGATTGTGGATTATCCGCAGCCTTGGATCAACACTCCCGGCACATTGGAAGGGATATGGCTTTATATAAACAAGTAATAATTGTGATATTGAAGGGGTGATACGAGGATATAGGGAGGAGAGATACTACAAACATTAATCAGACAATTAGTGAAAGGATCGGTGTCCCTCTAGGTCTTCCTGCCTATATGACCAAGTTGCGAAAACAAGGTCAGAGAACTTCTATGCAGCGAAAGGAGATCGCGACCATACAAAAGGCCATACCATCATGGTCTTCACATCTCCAATATTCACATAATTGTTGCAAAAACTCGATAATCAGTCCCTAAATTTTTCTAGGATGACTTTTTTGCTATTTAAATTTCGTGGGAATTTCTAAATGTACTCATGTCGTAGACAGATATTTTTATGTATAAATGAGGTTCCTGAACAGTTTTTATATCAGTCTCCATAATCTGAACTCTGAAACTATTTTGAAGGAAATGAATGTATAGAGCTCCTTCAAAATTTTCTATACGAAAAGGAAGACATTTTGTTTTAATCGTTTTGTGACAGTGTCTTTGACACATAATGAGCTAGTACAGCAGAACTTATATGATTTGTTAGACAAATATGATGATGGTATGCATAACTAGCATATTACCAGTATTTAAGCTCAATTATACTGGCTCCTTTGACTCACTAGATGATTTATCTCAAATTCATATTCATAAAATAATAAAGATTATTGCAGAGACATCAGATTAAGTGACATAGCATCACTCAGTATTTCAATAAACTCGCTGTAATGAATGCCTATCTCGAGTGTGATATAAAAACTGAGATCACCACTAGCCACAAAGAGGATACTCCTGACCATATAAGTTGACTCAAAGGAGGATGATGAAGGAAAGAGTGGGAAAGGATATATAATATAGTAAGAACTTGATTTTTAAATGTATTCACACACAAGTTATTAAATTAAAGATAAAGGAATAATAAGGATCACACGAGATTTATGCACCCTATTTCGTTTAAGGTGATGAAGGACTAGTAGTTGAATTTTTCCAACGTGAATTAAGTAGAGCGAACGCTTCCAGTGAATTTTGCATAGCCTTGATTCTCCAAAGAGTGTTCTCATCCAGGGTGGACTGCAGTTTAGAACTTGCGGGACTCTAAACATGACGGCGCAGAGTGTAATCTCAACATGTTTATCACTACGCCACAGTGCAATGAGTGCTCTTTGGTCACAAGATAGATGTGTATTTCAAGGTAGGCCAGGCATTTTCCAATTTCCCATTCTTTAGTCATACTTAGAGTACCGTTGGGGGTGTTGATAAGACCTAGGCGAGATCGAAACTGCAATCCACCCTGGATTAGAACACCTTTTGGGAAAACTAGGCTATGCGAAATTCATTGGAAGCGTTAGCTCTACTCACGTCATTGTGGAAAAGTTCAATTACCTTATATATAATTGATTTACTGGTAGTCTCGAAATCCTACTTGTAAATGAAAAATAATGAAGCTCGGTCATAATGGTAGGAAGACTTATAGAAACGCACCTTGTGCTGGGTCCATTGTATACATTATTATTTCCAAAGTTGGACCGTGGACATTGTACATTCCCAGACGTTTCGCCGGCATCGTCAGTAAGTTTTACCATTCGTAGCACTATATTACAACTCGTAAAAGAGACAAATAAAGCCGATCCTTTGACCAAACGTGTGCTGAACAGTTATAGTATCTCCCATTCTGCCCTGGCCTATTCACATCTCCTATCTCCTCCAATCACGCCTTCACTGTCACAATATTTTACCTGCTTAAGTAAATGTGGGCGATGTGCCCTTTTTTTAGCTGCTTTAATGAGAACTCTCCGCACTCCACGCTGGCCTTTTCACCGCCCTTCATCCTTGTGCTGGGAATGTTGATCTGAGTCTGCCATGTTGTTACGCCGTCCTCCTTCCCTAAGTCTTACCCCAGTCTCTCTCTTGCCCCGTAGGATCCGTCTGCTCTCTCTCTGGTTCACATTTCACTCGACTCCTGCCACCCTAGCTGTGCCAACCTGAGGCGTTATTGGCCCTACTCTGCGTCTAGGTTACTAATTCGAGGCTCAAGCCTCTGAGTAAGTGTCTTGGTCAGGCCTTTGCCACATGGACCACGTCTCTTATACAAACTACTGTCAGCGCCCTAGCTCCCATCGCCGCCGCGTCTATCCTGTTTCTATCTCTTTTACCAAGTCTAGGACTTCTCATACCATAGCCTGTTGTGAGTCAACCCACAAACGTTGTGGTTATGCTTGCTTTGATTCGGTTCAATGCTCTCAGCACAAGGATGAACGGCGGTGAGAAGGCCCGCATGGAGTGCGGAGAGTTCTCATGAAAGGGCGCCCCTCCCACATTTACTTAAGCAAGTAAAATATTGTGACAGTGAAGGAG